GCAGCATCAGCCCGCGGCCCGCAGCGCCGCCAGCCCCCCGCGGCCCCGCCGCGCCCCCGGGGCCCCGGGCCCCGCCGCGGCAGCGCCAGCGGCAGCTCCCTCGTCCCTCCGGCGGCGGCAACATGGCCTCGGCCGGTAACGCATCGGAGCCGGAGACCAGCAGCAGCGCGGGCGGCGGAGGCCACCCCGGCCGGGCGGCGAGGAGCGGCGGCGGGAGGCGGCGAAGGACCGGAGGGAACCGGCGCGCCGCGGCGCCCGACCGGGAGTATCTGCAGCGGCCAAGCTACTGCGATGCGGCGTTCGCCTTGGAGCAGATTTCAAAGGTGCATTCAATCTCTCCCTCTTTTTTCCAGAGATACAGGCTAGTGCTAGTGCTGCTTTTTCGGCGGGGGAGGAGGAGGGGGGTGGTGTGTTTTCTCGCGGGGGTGGAAGGAGGAGATGGAAACGAAACGGCCACCAATAAAATGCTGGGAAAAAGAGAGGGACGTCTGTGACTCTTCAGTGCGGGAGAGAGTGCCCTCCTTCTCTCTCTGCTCGCCTGTGCCTGCCCTGGTGCGTACCTGCGCTGCGGAGCATTTCTCCTGTTAAACTTCCCGAGACAGCCTCGGCTCGCTCCCGGCCTCCCCATGGCTAGCCCCAGGCTCGCTCTCCCGCTCCCCCTCTCCCTCTCTGCTTCCTTTCCGCCTGTCCAGCCTCTCGTAGCTCCCTGCGACCTCGGCAAGGCTTGCTCCCGGCCAGCCGGTTTCTTGGCAGCAGTTGGGCTTTTGTGAAGTTTTCCGCCGAGCGCTGACACGGTGACTGCCTTCGGAGAGGGGGGTCCCCGAGCAGAGAAGGCAGCGGTTTTCTCCCCTGCCCGGCGGTCGGAGGGGGAGCGAGGGCCGTAAACAAATTGCCACCTTAACCCTGCCGCGCCGGTCCCCGCGGAGGGCTGAGGTGCCGGCCCAGGCGGGGCGGGGGGACGGCCCCGTCCGCCAATCTCCGCCGGCCAAAAAAATGTTCAAAGTAAACAACCTCCAAAAGCTGCCTTGCTGCAGGGATGGTTTCACTTCAGGGAGCGGATTTCTAGGCTTTGTAAGAAGAGGGAAAGGAGGAGGAAAAAAAAAATCCATGTGGCTGCCCTCTTCCGTTCACAAATATTGTCGTAACTTACAGATGGCTGCTCTACTTCCTAATTCAGATCACACAGCGTCTCCAAACTCTATGGAAATGAATTACTGCAGATCTCACAGCGCTGCTCACCACGTGGGTCCTGCCTTAGCACCAAATCCCTCCTAGGAACTGGGAGTGGGGGAAACGGCCACTGCTACTCACTAGGAGTCTGTCACACAATTCCCTCCTCCCCCCACCCCAGCCATTCTGGGGTCTTAAGGAGAACAGGAAAAGGGATTTTTCTTTCTTGTGGCTGTAGAAGTTCATCGGAAGTGGTTCCTTCTGCCCTGGAACCACGGGTCCTGCCAGCGAGAATGCTTTGCAGCCTGCGCTGCTGGCGGCGCCTCGGGCACGAGAAGAACGTGGTGGTGGGCAGCACAGGGTAGGGCCCGGGGGTCTGAAGCGGTGTTGTCACACGCAAACCCACGTGTCTGCGTGGGGCAAGGATGGCTGCCAGCAGGTACATCTTGTCCCTACATGTGTGCTCGGCAGGGCTGTGGGGCAAAGGGCCCTGCTAGAAGGATGCCTGCTCGAGCCGATCACTGCGCTCCATCCTTCATCCCGGGGACCGCGCCCCGAGGGGCACGAGCTGTCCCGCTCGTGGGAGGGCTGGGGGTGCTCCCCCCCGCTTCTGGCGGCTGCCGCAGCCCCCCAACTACTGACCTCTTCTTGCCTTGCAGGGGAAGGCGACGGGACGAAAAGCGCCGCTGTGGCTGCGAGCAAAGTTTCAGAGACTGTTGTTTAAACTGGGCTGTTACATTCAGAAAAACTGCGGGAAGTTTTTGGTTGTCGGCCTCCTGATATTTGGGGCTTTCGCTGTAGGATTAAGGGCAGCTAACCTGGAGACCAACGTGGAGGAGCTGTGGGTGGAAGGTAAGTGCGAGGTGCCCGCTCTGTGCGGAGCCCGGCGCCGGGCGGGTCCGGGGGCGGGCGCTGGGCCGGGGCGCGCGGCCCCGGGCGGCTCCTACCACTCGTCCGCCCGCGGGG